TGGGTGTGGGGTGAGGGTGGGTGTGGGGTGAGGGTGGGTGTGGGGTGTGAATGCGGATGTGAGTGCGAGTGCGGCTGTTGTTGTGGATCTCTCCTTTAACAACACACCCACACCCACGCCCACCCACACCCTATAGAACTTGTTATTTTACTGAGTTTATCGTCAACTGAAACTCTTACGCGAAGAAACCTTTTTTTTTAACTCTTATACCATAAAAAGAATATAATACTGAGTAAGTATTCCGTTTTCAGGGTAAATCTTAGAATAACAACTAGATCATAAATATACATAAGTCATCAAGATTACAGTAATCAAATAAAAAACTTAGCTGCTCTATTTACTTTTGTAGCAATAGATTTTTTTTTATCTACCACAGATGACTATTAATGAATAAGAAACATAATAGTTTCAACAATAAATAGATTTTAGTAGTACGTCAATAGTTTAGCTGTTCCATATTTTCTTTTGATAAAATAGACCAAAAAGTTGACATCTTTTTATCTATGGTATTTTTCCCCTAGAATTTTTTGTTTGTCGTACCAATTCATTGATTTTTAAAAATCTAACTTTCAATATTCATCGAGATTATCATAAATCACAACTTTGTAACTAATTATATATTTCTCCATAGGTATTAGAATAAACTAGACTTGAGAATTACTAATGAAAACTTCAGAAGATTTCGATAGAATATTTATCAGATGTAAAACAAGCGTATCATCCCTGAACAATCGACAAAATTCTAATTATCTACGAATAAAGAAATGAAAGTTCATGCATCTTTAAAACATAAGACATGAGTAGAAATCTTTTGAACAAATATCAATACAAAAAGAAAAGTTTGTAGAAAAGACTTCTATTCGTGTCTTATGTTTTATAGATGTATGAACTTTCATTTCTTTAAATAAATATATTGACTTGTTAGCACCAACCCCATTTTAGTTCATCAGTTGGATGTTTTGACCAATAACGACCAGTGCTACGAAAAGTTAAAATGATGACTTATCTGTACATATTATATGTGCAAAATCCTTGTTTTTATGTTGTTTATATTATTGAATGTATTGTTGTTTTTCTCACATAACATAAGAAAACAGTACATCTTCGTTTCAAAATATAATATTTGATGTCGATGCATGTGAAGTATGGCTGCGTGTGGGTATAAGTGGTTTGGGTATGCGTGTGAGTGTCGGTACGAATGTAGATGTGGGCGTGAAGTGTAGATGGTTCGAATCTAAGTGTCAGGCTCATTTTACAAGGTATTTCGTTCACACATACCACACCTAGACATGTATCGAGTCCGATCTGCTCGGGCTCGGTCAGGCTTTATCTCAATCGTGACAAACGTCGACCTTCATCGATCAATCTTGGTGTAGAGTTTCTAAATTTTGTTTTCTCATACGTACAACATGCACTTATTATTTCGTATAAGTGAATTTCAAGTATCAACAACGCAGTGGTACGACAAAACTAATGAAATATTTATGACAAGGCGAAATTTAGTAAATTCCCACCAAGATTGATCGATGGAGACCAACATTTTTCAACATCGAGACTGTATCTGACCGAGTTCCTGACTGATTGTGCTCGACCGAGTCTGACCGAGCCGAGCTGCTAGATGTAACCTGAACCTTGGTCAAAACCTACCTACACCTACTTTCAAACAACCCACACGTACAACCACAGCTATACTTACCCATTCCACAATGAAAGCTTACTGTGTATTTCTTTGTTTTAGAAGAGTTTTTGTCAAAATTGATGCTTACCGTGGAATGATGATCCAAAACTAGACAGCAACACGAATAAATCATTCACCAATAATAATGTGTCACCATTAATAAAGGGAACATCTAATAGTCTAGATGACAATCCTCTAGATAATATTTTCCAATTCTAAAATGTAAAATTGAAAAACTGAAGACCCAAAACATTGATGAACTGGAGCAATTTTTAGTTGCCGAATTGAAAAATGTTGCAGCGAATTGTGGGATGTTCATGAAAATACACATTTGTTTGTTTCTTATTTTCGCGAAAAGTAATACAATAAAACATTAATATAATTATGTTTCATAGAGCTCACCATAGGCTATTAACTAATATAAAAAACAATAAATGGATGACATATGTATATTAAATACGAAATACGTGTAGCACAAGAACTGCAAGTTTTTTTCGAGAAACAGCTGCATTATAGGTTGACGATGACAATGTGATCCTTCCTAGATATGATTCACAATAGTTCTCGATTATTGTTTGCATAAACATAGTAATCGAGGACCAATTCAAGTCTAGAAAACAAAAACGTCGAGAAAGAGAAGACTGTTGTATGCTTACGGCCATACCACGTTGAATACACCAGTTCTCGTCCGATCACTGAAGTTAAGCAACGTCGGGCTCGGTTAGTACTTGGATGGGTGACCGCCTGGGAATACCGAGTGTCGTAAGCTTTTTTTTCTTGCTGACTACATATGACGTATGTCATACAGATTCAAAAAATTTCTTGAAGAACACAAAAGACAATAGAGTTTTTCTTGTATTAATTAACTTCAATCTTGTTTGAATGTACCCAGGAGATTCAATCCGGCCTGTAGATTCGATCAAAAACGATCGGATCCGCCTCGGATTTCATCGGAATCCGACATCTTTTATAAAAAACCGATCGGATCCGACGAATATAGGACCGGATCCGACCGAAATTATTCCGAACTGGCGAGATCCGACTGGGGTCGTTTGACCTGGGTAGTTTTGAAAAAATAGAGGATCATGCGTCGAGTATCTGATCTTAAAAGAAACGATTTGAAGTTGAATAAAATCACTCGTAGAACTTAGTATTGCCATATACACTTAGGCCGCTTTAAGTCTATTGGTTATCAAAATGCATCAACGATCACTTGAATGAGCTATATATCATTGGATATCAGTCAGATAAAATAATTGTTCTGAAATAGGGTATAATCTATGAAGAAATGTGTGCTAATTTTATCAATATTGTAAACTTTTCTGATAGATAAGCTTGAGACTGAGAACGATGAGCATCATGTCCTGCAACTTCATCTGAGAAGTCGCTTGGACAATTTCCAGTGAACCTTGTCGAGTGAAACTGTCAGCTAATTGAACATTTACTTGTGTTGTAATCAGAGATGGGCAAGTCATTTTTTCAAGTCATTTCAAAACATCTTCATACTTTTTCTCATTTGAAGAGCATGGCTCTAATTTCAATGTGGCTAAATTCAGAAATGTTCAGGCTATAAAATGATATATTATGGTCAAAGCTTTTCTTCACCAAAAGCGCCGTAGTATCTCTAAAACACCTTGACTTGATGAAAATGATTTGGCTTAATCAGGTCAAATCAAGTCATGGTGTTTTCAAAGTATTACAGCTCCTCTCATGGAGAAAAACTTTAACCATAATATAGCATTTTGTAGCCTGAACATTTCTGAATTTAGTCGCATGGAAATTAGAGCGATGCTCGTCAAATGAGAAAAGGTATGAAGTTTTTTTAAAATGACTTGAAAAAATGACTTGCTCATCTCTGGTTGTAATAGTCTTTCATGTTGGAAATAAAAAAAAATGTTTATCAAGTTATTATTTCATATTATCTATAGGCTTGGTAATGGCGATCCTAATAATTATAAAACTACTCCAAAATGTACTGTTCCTGTCTACAATGTAGATAAATCAATTGCAGCCAAGTTACATTATTGTATCAACATACCCTGCTAAAACTGTGAAACTCTAGGTTCTATGGCCTGAAATGATGCTACGAAATTCTACTAACATTATCCTATTCTTTCATTGAAATTTCAAAACTGCGAATCAATAACAAATAACACAAAAGTAATATGATAAAAGAGTAGATATCAAAATTTGCTGTGCTTGTTGTTTTTGGTTCAGAATATATCTATGGATTAGACGCCACAGTGAATATTCAGATGTCCGCTTTTAAATTGTGTGCAAGTGCTCAGTATTTTTGAAAATATGTTAAAGAGAAAAGATATATTATCATATTTTTACCATAGCGCTGGATGCCTCAGGATTCAATAGTACTATATTGATTTAATAATCTGCCTAAGTTTCGAAAAGTTTGCTGATATTGTATCAAAATACAAAAGTACTATTTTAGGCTTGATTTTGTTACGTGATCATGGCATGATTGTTATGTATTATTACATAAGCTCGCTCCGTTTACCATTAGTTTGGATTTGGAAGCCTATCCAAAGTATATCGATTTACGTCTACCCATTTAGTACTTTATTCTAGCTCATGTTGACTAGACCTTCATTATCCTTATTATGCAAATCAACTTTTTATTTATTTCAAAATGTTGAATGACGCTTGATGAAATTTACCCACTTGTTATCTATTGATGAATCATTTCTGCTCATTCTTTAAGTTAATAATATAAAAATTTTGATTATATCTAACGTATAAATGTAGAACGTGCATGATATTGTCTTTTATAGTATCGTACATGTATGATCTATTAGCTCCTTTTTCCACTTTCATCACAAACATCACTTGAGAAACAAGAATGACTTCTTTCTAATGCTGTTTATGTACGAGCTTTAGATTGATATAAGAATAAGACGTCTTTTGTTAACATAAGTATAATGTATATTCACTGGTAATATTGATATAAATCAAACAATATTGACAAAAACTCATCGGAATTGATAGAAAAGATATCTAAACCAATGATATGGTTCAATGATTGAAGTATATTTTGTTATGATGAAGATACAACGTTAGATATTAATATGAGGGTTACTTCATGTTTAACAGACGATAATCACTGTGAATAAGAAGATGAAGATGTTGAAGATTTAAATATAAATCAATATCGTAAGTGAGAGAGATTTCATAGAAATCTATATATGATCGTTATAAACCTTTACCAGATGAAAATTATGTTGGTTAATTGAGAAATTATTTGTTAAAAAACGACCCAAAATATGAAAACAAAAATTCAAAATTATTTTGTGAAGTATACCAACAAAATTTATCGGTTAATGTTATCTATCAATTTCCAAAAGGCGTCACGGAATATCCTCACGTAAAACTAGAAAAATAGTCACAGGAACAGATATACAACGTTTCACAGTAATTAATCAAAGAGTAAGAAAGTTGTTGAGATAGGCTAAAATTTTATTTCAAATGTCTACATTAACATTCATGAAAACATGGTTTATTTGTGGTATGCATACGGTTATACAAATGATGACCCAGTAGCATGTAAAAATGTTTGTGAGGTTGGCTTTCGAGTATTGTCATTAACTAACAGCTGTCGTACAAATAGCTGTAATCCGTCAAGATTTGTTAATTGTAGTTGGTAATAAAAATTTTTATGTTTGTAACAATTTGTCTATTAATTCTTATTGTGATTAATAGTTAAAATATCACCTTTATAGACGAAAGTCACAGAAACGGCACTAAAGCAGTTGTAAGTTTGGTGAAGTATTATAGTATTCTTAGTTTATAAAAAAAATTTAGAAACGAGAGAATATGCTATTTCATGACGTAGAACATGACATGAAAAGTGAATATGTCGTTAAAAAATAAGTAATTCTACTGGTGTTTTAATCGGTGAAACAAAGGGATCAGGTTAGGTATTGTATTCGATAGAAGAAACATCCCTACTAGAAAAGGATAAGCAGTTATGATTATGATATAGAATCTAGAACGGTATTTAGGCCGCTAGCACTATGATATTTAACTCAATATAGGTATGTATTTTTCGAGAAAAAAAGCGAGCCATCACTTAGAAGACTTCTCTTGTCAGTATGACGAAGACATACAATAACATCGGTTTTGGTATATTGTCACATAGACCTAGACTTAAGAGTGCTTTCGCTGACTAATGAATCCGCACTTTATCTCGGTGTTCCTGACGAACGATTCGCGTTCAAGTTCGGAAACTATTCAACCAATTCAGATAGTAAAGGGTATTTTATTGAATTCCCTAGCACTTCATCATATGTATTGGCAATCATGGAAGTATCCTAAGGTTCAGTTAAGTTCGGATTCGAGTACTTCTGAGCATTATTGATTTTTTTGTGGTATTTCTGCAAATGTTCAAATCATTCATCTAAACCCGATAAAATGAGTGACTGTGTTATTTTCGGTACTAGTTTACTTTAGACACAGTACCCTCACCCTCACGCAGTGCTGTGTGTGCAAATTATATCTCTTGTATGTTTAAAGTAAATTAGTATCACATGTATTGCTCGTAACATATTTTTAGTGTTGCAAAATATCCATAACAGAAATCTATAATCATATTGTATCAGTAAAATGATAATAAAATTATGTTGTACTATTATTAGATTTTCACATAAAGTTTTACATTCAATCTCTTCATTGTAAATGTAAAATAAAATTTTATGCGCAAAACTTATTATAGCTCGTCGCGAGCGTCGCTATTAACTACTATTGGAAGACACAGATCAACCAATGAGTTTTTATTTGTTTACAAATGTAAATTATTTTATTGAGAACACAATAGAAACTAATTTTTTCAGAGATTCGATTTCTCGTCATATAAATAATTATTATTATTATCTAATACACTTTTAGAAACTGATATGACAGCACCTGTGAGTGCATATGCTCAACGAATGATTCGTTTGAGTCAACGAATCTTTACTGAATATCCTAAAATAGTATTTTCAAAAAAGGAACATCAAGAACAACATGAAAAATTTCTTCGTTTTCTTGACGATCGTCCACATACATCAGGTGTACTTGTTTCAATGAATTATTATCCACGTTATGGAGAAATGTATCATTTAATGGAAGGTTTACGTGAACACGGTCTTTTTAGGTAAAAATTTTATTATATATCTTCTACGATGAATTGTCAATCATTACTGTACATGTTCTTCTAGAAATGAACATCGTGATTTTCAAGAAGAAGTTGTTCGACTACGTGTTCTTCGTGGTAAACAACGTAAAAATATACGTCTGCTATTTCCAAAACGTATGCCCGAACTTGCACCATGTTGTAAACAATCATCTAAAAAATGATTTTTCTTTTTTTGTTTCTTTAATTTTTGTTGTTTTTCTTCTTTCCTATACAACAAGTAAAATTAGCGTACGATTTATACACAACATGACTTGTATGTTTTATTTAGAAAAAGAAATTATAATTTTCTCATAAGTAATTTGAAACATTTGCAAATCATTTTGAATATGAATCAAATTTTTAAAGTTAGTTAGATTGTATTCTATTGATTCAGGTATCCAATGATATAGATATAATTGTGAATGAATATTCTATGGAGCAAATGATGGTCAAAAGAATCTCATTTGTATTGCTTCAAGAAAATCATAGTTTAATCAAAACTATTCTGTTATTTATGAGATAAATTAATCGATTAATAATGATAACTGATTCATAACAGTTATATATAAATGTATATGAAAAATGTCTTTTTATTATAGATGGAATTGCGACATTGTAGTCGTCTTGCAGTTTCATTAGTTCGTCTATCTAGACAGGTAAGAATTAGCTGCTTACATATTTTATCATCAATGATTATCTTTTTTATAGCCGAAACTTTGTTATGCTACTCGAAATTTTTCATCTTCATCAAGATTATTGCCAATCAATTCATCTCAACTTATACTTAAACGTTCTTTATCATGGCAATTTTGGAAATCATCAACACCAGCAACAATTGATCCATGGCCTGCAAATATTGCTCATCCAACATCGGAATCTATCACGGTCGCATCATCAACATCAATACTAACAGTACCTGATGTTCCAAAAATTGAAGCAGATGAATTTGGTTATATACCTGAACCTCCAACTGTACCATCGGATATACCTATTGAATTTCTTTTGAATGCTGCTGGTGAACCAGCTCTATCAACACTTGGTCTTGGTAAATGGTATTTACCAACTGGTTGGGTACAACAAGGTCTTGATCTTATTCATGCTAATATTGGTTTGCCATGGTGGGCAACAATTATGCTCGGTAAGTTAATAAGAAAGTTTTTAAAAAAAAGTTTTAATTGATAAATATAAAAAAATTTATAGGTACGTTAATTATTCGTACGATGACAACACCTATTGCAATTTATAATCAGCGAAGTGCTGCACAAATGCAAATACATATGCCGAAATTGCAAGAATTACAAGCTAAATTACAAGAAGCACGTATTCGAAATGATCAATTAGCCAGTAAGAAACATATTTTTATCAATGATTTTGATTGCAAATAAAAACCTATAGCTAAGGCGTCTGTCATGATCTGTAAAGGTGTAGACTGTGTTTCACAACAGTTTTTTTTTCATTATAGTTATGAGAGCTGGTAGTGATTTAATGGAATTTATGAAATATTCTGATATTAAACCCTGGAAAGCAATGCTTGGGCCATTTATGCAGGTAACATCTTTTTGTTTATTTAAAAAACTTTCTATCTTAGAATTCTCTTTAGATGCCTTTTTTCATATCACTTTTTCTTGGTATTCGTGGTTTAGCAAATTATCCTCTTGAAAGTATGATGTATGGAGGAGTACTATGGTTTCCAGATTTAACTGTAGCTGATCCTTATTATATTCTACCAGTATTTACTGCCTTTACAATGTTTATTACCATGGAAGTTTGTATTTCATACATCGATTTATTATAATCATTTGCAATCTGTGTTTTTTTTTGTTTTGCTTATTTAGCTTGGTATTGAAACGGGTATGCGTACGGCAAACTTAGGACCCATTGGTCGAAATGCATTACGTGTGATTCCATTTCTTTCATTGTTTTTCACTGTGCATTTTTCATCAGTAAAATTATTCAGCTTTTTTCTTATGTTTATATGAATTAATATTTAAATCATAGGCATTGACACTTTATTGGGCTACTTCAAATGTTATATCATTAGTTCAATCAGTTGTATTACGTCAACCGTCTATTCGAAAAGCATTAAGATTACCAGCACCACCACCAAAAAAAATAGATACAAAAATTAAAAAGAAAAAAGGTCTTGCTGGACTTCGAGAAAGTAAGATAGATTTATTAATGAAAAAAGATACAAATATATTATTTAATGATATCTATTTAGATTATCGTAATAGCAAATTATTAGCTGAAGTTGAAAAACGAAAGCAATTAGGAGGTTTGTTTAATTTACATCAATAGTGCATAAATTTTCTGTTGTTTTAATTCTATTCCCTAGATGACATATTTCGTCGTGCTGGTATAAGTTCAGCTGTACCAACATATAAATATGATCCAACAAAAGTCAAAGAAAACAATCCACCACAAATAAGAAAAGTGTCTGAATAATTCGAATGTATTAGTTGTTTTCTTGTTGTTGTTGATGTTGCCTTTTTTTTTTTACTTATAAACAAGTTTAATACTATTTAGCAAAAACAAAAAAAAAGAAAGAAAAGACACAACAAAGAAAAGTAGATTTTTAGAAGAGTAAAGATGAGATTTATCTATAAATATTCATATATACACATGGACAAAGACAAAAAAAAGCCTGCAAGAATAAAGAATGATACTTTTCTGAAATGTTTATTCAATATTACAAAAGACGATTTAACAAATAAATAGGTAAAACAGTAGTCGTGGGTGATGAAGAAACAATACGTATTATTTTTTCATCTTCATCATCTGATGAAAGAACGATATAATCTACAAAAACCAAAATAAGAAAAAGAAAAATTAAGTATTTTAAAGATTTACCTGGTTCATCATCGATTGATCTTTTTTCATCATCTGATATTGCTAATGACACTAAAGAAAAATTAAATCACAATAATATAAATCTCGATTAATATATTTCATTGCTGAGTATTGATTGAAGAGAAAAACTAAACCTTACTCCACCTATTCTGGGCGGACCTTTACTCTACCCTACATATCTCTAATAACAACGACAGATAAGCATAACTTACTTGATTTTAAGATACTTTCTGATGGTTTAATATCAACTTGAAGATGATCAGTTGTTACTTGTTGATTGTCAGTTTGAATAATATTATTTGATAATAGAAGATCTTTGATATCTTCTGAGGGTTCGATATCACATGAAGAGAAATGTAAAAGATGAAGACCTTCAAATTCATTGTCATACATACTATCATAATATTCATGATTAAATTTAGTTGTTTGATTATTAATTAATTTTTGTTGTTTCATTTCAACTTCTTTAACCGAAGTTTTTATTATAATTGTTCGCTGTTCATTTTTAATTATTGGTGATTTTATAATAACTTTACGATGAGATTGATGATTTTCTTTTTCATCATTACTATTATTTCGTTTACGTTTTAATTTTGATGAATTACTATTAATATTATCATTATTTATTTTCTTTGATGTTTTTGCTATTTTATCTTCTTCATTTTCATCATCAGATATATCTTGATCAAGATAATTAATTTTCGAATGATTATTATGATCTTTCATACGTTGTTTAAATGTATTTATTTTATTTCCTAATTCTGCACGTAATCGAAGACATTGAAAACTTTTAACACCATGATAATAAGCTTTTATATAATTTAATATAATTTCATTTATTATACGATTACCGATTGCACACCTAATTAAAAATATATGTTTTTCATACTCAATAAATGTGAATATAAATAATATACCAATGTATGCCATCTAATTGACGAAGATGTAACATTTTTGAAAAGATAGTATGAACATCAACATAAAGAACATGATGAATATTACACATCTAAGACAAACAAAAAATGAATCAGAAGAAAAACGACACTATATTTACTTGAGAACAATGATAATTTCCATCGCGAATAAGACCTAACAAAAAAAAAGAAAACAATCTTACATTGGCATAACATAAAGGAAGCATTACACACCTCTACTTTAGAAAATTGTACACATAGCACGTCTATTTCAAGAATGTGTAGTGTCCATGGACTGATCACCGCTATCATCAACTTTGTGTAGTCCATGCACACTATGATTAGCGTTCGATGCAGTGTTCGGAACGTACGACTTCAAAAGCGGACATGTTTTGATAAAATTTATGTCTAAATGAATCTAGTGTTAATGACTCACTATTCAGTTTTTTCATTAGCACTATACATTCCCTAATATCAATGAAAACGTGTAACAGATAATCAAACATAGAATCATTGAATTCTGTGTTCGAAGCATCTACAGCATAGTTCAGAAGTCATCAGAATATAAAAAACGTAATATTTAAAACTTTTTCACGATGGTTTAAAAAAAAACAAGATTTTTCAGAACACTGAGTTTTTCGAAGTTTCTATAGCACTTTAAATTCTGAATATATCAGTTCGTTTAAACTTGGTTTTACGAAAACTTCCAAAAAATGATGAATCTATCAAAAGTTATTCGCAATCAAAAACAATCTGGTGAAGATTGGACCATACTGTATGTCTTACCTGGTAGAATGGGTCGTATATATTCAGCACTTGAGATGATGACACCTCCTTAAATTTAGATCCAAATACAAATAAAACAACATTTTAAATAAAAATTTTTCTAACCATTCGATGTATTTGAAACAGGTAATGCTGAAAGCCATAGAAAAAGTGCATCAGGTAACATTTGACGAAATGAACCCATTATACGATCAATGTTTCGTTGATATGATCTCATTGAATGAATGCCATAACTAAAATGAAAAACGAAAACAAAAATACTACATAAAAAATAATATTCATTATATAAGTTTTCACCGAGATATATCCCATAAACAACTATTCATTATAATTATATCTGGTTTAATTGCTTGATTTTTAATATCATTAAATATAACATTCTTCATATACGATGAATAACATCTTGTTAGAAAATAAAATCGAATACGACGTGCACCACCGGCTGTATGTTCACGAACCTATTCAAAATATTTATTAATTAAAATAACTGTAAGAATATGAATTTTACTTCTTCATAATCGATTCCATTCGTAAGACCTTTTTGAATGCCACCGGTGATTAATCGATCACCATAAAAACGCTTTTCACCCTTTGAATAAAAATGTTTTTTTTTCTTTGTATTTTTATAATGAAAAAAATTATTTTACTTTAACACGAAGTTCTTCTTCAGTAAGGAAATCATCCACATTTGAAAATTTAAGTAGATCTTTATATAAACCTCTAACGACTATAAATCATCTAAAAATTTATTGAATTATTAAGAAACAGCAAATGATTTACCTGAATCACCAAGAATTAGAATATATTTGTTAGAAAGTAACTCTCTAACATCTTTTGAAGTAAGTGTATCCGATGGTGACGTCATTGCATTACTGTGAAACAACAAAACAATCTAAAAAATAAATATAGAAAATGATTGTTTGTTTGAACTATAATTAGTACAAAATCATCTTCTTAATTAATTCGAATATCTAAAAAACAAATCTTTTCAAAATAATTTTCTTTTTTTTTAAACATAGACACATCTAACGCATATTATTCCTTTATACTATCGCTGACGAGTTAAATAAATAAATTTTCAATTACTATCATTACATATGATGATGATTAGTTTTGACATTATTCAAACATTTCTCTACTATTAAAAACGAATGACATCAAAAACCTGATTATTGAATTCGTCATTACATATCTAACTAACGAAGGAACTACTCAAACTATTACTCGTTGTTTAAACTCTCATTGAGTCTACAGGGAAGACTCAGTAACTAGACAAAGCTTAAAAGAGTTTCAACATAGATATTCGATATTTTTAAATTTGTGACATCTCAAATCAATTTTTGGAGATGTTCCCGTCTGATCTGTTGTCAATAAAGTTCCAGCCACTGCCGACCAATGCATCGGATTACACCTCTAGATATCAATGTTTTACTGAATTCGCAACCTACAATTTGTCTCATAGAAAGATCTGATGGAGAATATTATAAGAATCATTTGATCCGTCTATGAATAGAACTTAATGTCGAAATTTAGTAAAATGGTAATTAGATGAATTCAAACGGCGGGTTTTACTTGATATAGTTCCATTGAAAGTTGCTAGAAAAACAGAATCTTTCAATTAAGATAGATTTTTCGGTAGATCGTACGATTGATTGTATCAGAAATCAAAATTGAGTAAAGAAGGACAAGAAGAATCTTTGTTTTTTTTTATTTTCAAATCATTACACTAGACAAGATGAATTTGTTTTTCTAATAAAAGTTTATGTATATGTTTATATTGCATAATATATTCATCATCATTTTTTAAATCAATAATATCATTTGGAGCACCCTTATTATTTAGTTCATTTGATAAAATTAATCCATTAACTGGTTTATCAGCTTGAAAAAATACAAATTCATTTAAATTTGGTTTGGGTAAAAGTTGTATTAATGCATTATCATCAGTTTGTTGCTGTTGTTGTTGTTCAGATTTTAATTCTGATAGAACACTTTTTTTTAAATGTTGTTTCATATTATTTAAATATGTATGTGCATAAACACATTCTTCAGGTGATAAAAGTTCTTCTGAATTTAATGCTGCTGATGGATATTCTTCAATTTTAAAACAACGTGTTCGAATATATGAACATAAAATAAAATAAAGACGATTATATTCTGTTCTATGCATTAACCACCGAAATGATGTTGTTTTATGTTCACTTGTTTTTAAACGTTTTTCAATATCATCAAGTAATTCAAATGTTGCTAGAACAAGAAGATTTTCATGTTTAAGTAATACAGGTGAATATTTTTCATTTAACCATGCTTGTTGTAAACGTTGAAAAAGTTCTTGTGATGTCATTATATCATCATCATCTTCTTCATCATCATTTTCATTTATATCTTGTTGAGATAATAATGGATAAGAATTATTTTCATCCATATTTAAAACTAACAAAATGAAAGAATGTATGTATATGTTAGATAATAGATTATATAAAGAACGCCAATCAGTAGAAAAATAAATCTATATATATATGTACAACCACTGAAATAAAATTTTCTTTTAAAAATCGATAACTAGCGCCATCCAATTTTAAAGATTTCAACGTAAAGAATTTTTATTCTTTTCTTTCTATCCAATAGAAAATATGTGAATGAAGAATGTGAATAGTTCAATGACTATTTGTTCGTAGTGATTGGGTGATGTCAAAGGACCTTTGTTGTTCGTGAATATAAGTTTGTTAAAATATTAATCTCTAGAAAATCTCAAGATAAGTTTTTTGGAATGATGTAAATCAGTGATTTGTTTCTATTTTTCGTTAAAACAAATCTGTTTAACTGTAAAAGAAGAAATCTAGAATATATGTTTTCTTTTCAATGATATTATTTTTATCATATAGATTTCTTTGAATTCCGATAGCAATTTTATTATTACACTTGACTAAATTCAGATATGATCTAGGCACTAATGACAACATACACGCACATCAGAAAAAAACTAATAACATTACTCTACAATATATTCTCTCGTTCAAGTCATATATTTTCTATACTCGATTGATGAACTAGAAACAAATATTTCTGTTCGTTTCGCATCAAAATCATCTTAAGTCTTCTATTCTTTAGCTATATTTCTTTTTGTATATATGACACCTCAATAAGAAATGTTTCATTGTTATCAATCATCATTTATCTCATGTTTCTATATGTATGCGTTTCAGTATGAGTCAAAAAATTTCTTTCGTCGATTCAAATTACGAAAACAAAATTTCAACATACATCCAAGTGGGTTTTCTCAGTTGAATAATCCATTGACATCTAATATTGACAAAATTATAGTCGTATTCATCTTAGTCGTGCGCTCACCGTTCTATCTCTCTACCTACATATATGTCGTGTTTAACAACGATATTTATTTAAAGCTTAAAGATACTTTTGTTTTTGTGTCTTTCTCTTGTATCGATTTCTATTATACAATGTGCCATCATTTAACATCTTTCGTTCGTTCATTTATTTCAGATAGTATGCATATGTGAAAAAGTACATAGTTATTTCTTTTTTTTTTATGAGTTCGTGAATAAAACAGAATTGTATTGTTATCAAGTAAGTATTTATTATAACAAAAAAAAGAAAAAACGGATTATAACAATAAAAGTCAATGATGATAAAGCAGGGGTCTTGAAAACATCTGAGAATGTTGGATGTACACGAAGAATAAATAATCATTGAAAAATTAATTTTATTTTCGGTTAGCTTATGAAAATAGATTACAATTGATTATTCTATTCTTTGTGGGATAACTATTGGCCAATTGAACTGAGACTTTTATTTTATTGAAAAAAAAAACAGAAATAAAAATGAATAATTTTAAGTGATTTATTTATTTAGATGTTTATTAATCGAGTAATTAAAAATAATGATTGTAGAATCTTATACAGATCAATCATTATCAAATAATAATTATCAACAATTCAAAGTAAAACAAATTCATATGGCTATGAATAAATTAACTATAAAACAGAATGGACATTCAAATATGAATGAAACTCGTACAGATGATGATTATGGTAGTGGAAATAAAAACAATTCACAAATATCTTCGTAAGTGTTGAATAGTAAAGAGAATCAATTCTAAATTTGTTTTTTCTAGTAAAAATGGAATTTCGGATAATCGTAAATCTCGCTCAACTAATTATCACAATCGCGTTAATGCTCTTGTTGATGTAAGTGAGAATGCATTTTTTCCTAATTGTTTTATTTAACATGCAGAACAAAAATCTTGGCAAAAACCCAAACTCTTTTAGACCATTATACAATGGTTAAAAGCATTGTATCCTTCATTGATCTCGTTCTCTAATCTACCTTCTGATTTTATATTCTTTATTGTAAATTTTCTGTTTTATAATGTTCTATACTAGATGAATAGTATTTAAATTAAGGCTATAACTTGACTATTCACATACTTCAACATTATATTCTTTACTAGAGAATGTGACTATTGAGACATGCAATACTTTACAAACAAATGTTATTCAAAAATGTATTGAGAAAAAGACAAACGATATTTCAACACTTTTACTGTTGGTAGATTAGTAAAATTTGTTTAAATCCACTCGTGACTGCGTAATGAAACAAAATTTTGAAAATTGAATTTTTTTTTATAATAGAGTTATTTGCAAGAACGATCAGTTTCGAAAAGCATCCACCATAATTTCTAGAAACTATACTTGAACTAAATTCTTTGTGCGTTATTTTTTCGAAATATATCAGAACATGGAAACTCAGCGGAAAACAAAAACAGTTCAAAAAACTTTGTTCTTGTTGGAAAATAGTCAAGTAGTAAGAACGATCGAATCGCAGTCTTATTCAGGAAAAATTATATTTTGGTATAAAAATCGAGAATAAATGGAACATCCAATACATCAGGGATGTATTGGATGTATTTTATACAGACATTGAACTAACGTGTTTTCGTACTATTCCATTTGTGAATAGTGATATCTAACGTAGTCAACTTTCAACAAAGTTTCATTACGCATTCTCTTTTAGATAATAAAAGTAAAAACAAAATAAGACATATCAGTAACTGGTTTCGGTTTCGTCTCTGCAATGCACAATTGACAAGAGTATTCTTTACGCTATGAAAATCATTATCAAATGAGTTTTTTTTATTTCATCTCTGATATAACAAGTTTAATAGAAAATGAAGTTGGAAAAATGAATTCTTTTTACAGATGCTCGTCTTGGAGTCTTTTTCTCCTTATTAGAAATTACGTCTGGTATTTCAGAGACTACTCTGTCTAACATAAGAAAAAACTTGCTTGGTTTAGAAATTAGCAATATGATTTAATAGAGATTGATATTTTTTGTCCGGACTTTTGGATCGTATATTATATTGTATTTTTACATTTTTGCTTTTGTTTGTTAAAGCCAACTCGTTGGTGGCTGGTTCATTTTATTCAACGTTTTATTGTTGATCCGAAACGCACATTAACACAAAGTCGTAGTGCAACAGATGCTACACGTTTTCTTCGTCATATTCAAACACATATATCAACAGCTATCAAATATGATTCTGTTTATGAAGGGTCATCAACAAATACAAAAAAACGACGAAATAGTTGTTATAATCATAATCATGTATCTGATTATGAACATAGTACATCTATTCGAATGCGTTCTCAATCAGTACCTAATCATAGTATTTATAGGTAAGTCTGTTTAAAAAAATAGCAGATTAAAAAAAATAAACACCAAAAATTTATTTACTGTGTTTAGTTCGAATTATCAAATGTTAACAATAAAACGTCGATCACAACCAATAGTGCGTTCATCATCAGTACATGATCTTAATCGACATGAAGTATTTCGTGCAAATGA